CTTCAACCACAGCCGGTGTTGGTGCCAAAATTGCACGGTCACACAAACAACTCATATCATCTGCAGATTCAACATATTCCGGAAATATGCTTTCAACAATCGCAGCTATAGTATTGCTATCCCAAAAGTAATGATGGTCATATTTGTATTTTTTCCAAACATACTCCGGTATAGCCATCGACTCTGCCCATAACAATATTACAAATAGAATCCCCAAACAATAGGCAAGTACTTGCCTCACTGAAAGAATCAATGTATTCTCTATCATCGTCAAGCTATCCTAACGCATAACACACATCACAAAAAGAATCATAAGTAACACCATTTAATGTTCTCAAATCCTCATGACTCGTTGCACCACAAATGTGATTCAAAGGACACCTAATGTAATAAGATTCGCCGCTACCGGGACAAACAAAGGAGACTCTGCCAATAGCGAATGCTTCTACTATTTCTAATATCCAAGTATGATCTGGTCTGATTTTGTTTAAGTTTGAGTTGGTCTGAGACTGAAATAAGTCCAAGTATAAACATCTCAAGTAATATGGTGACTATGCATTTATACAAATTGCATTATTTACACGAATTGCCTTGGTAAATTGACAAATCAGGGGGAGTGCAAATATGTGAAGGTGATTTATACGAATTGCATTATTTACACGAATTGCCTTGGTAAATTGACAAATCAGGTGGTGTGCAAATATGTGAAGGTGTGTTATGGCATTATTAAACAATACTTAAATATGAATTCGTGAGAAAGTGTTAGTTGAGTCCGTATATGAAAAGTAATGCTATCATTTAAGCACAATAACTTTCGAAACACATTCAATAGGTAGAATCTATAGTAGTTCTCAATTAAAAAATAAGTACAATTCCAGTACGTGCGATGCTCGGTTGGTGAAATTTAAAGGGCGAAGTTTTACTCAAATTAGAAAAAAACACAATAATCAAGTTTGATGTAAAATGAAATGTATTCAATACGATTTACAGAATATCAATGATTGTGGAGTAGCACAATGTGTATAGTCTAACAAAATAGTAACACTCAATACAAATATAATTTGAAAACAACTTACATTCTATGCTTGACTTTATGAAAAACTTATTTATACAGAAAAATACTCGGTTCACATTTCAATCTCATGTCATCGTTTGTGTGCAGTGTCATTTTTTACGTTTAGCGGTTGTTTACTCTTGACAAAATCATGTAACAATGACCATGACTAAAAATAGCATATCAATAAAGAACCAACATGCGGCAACGAAACACACATAAAACACATGTATGATACATAGTGTGTTGAACCCCGTGTCTTAACACAAGGGGTGAGTATTTTCAAATATGTATAAGGGGTGTTTAGAATTGATTCTGCTTATTTAAAAAACGGAATATCCATAGTAATTTTATTTAGTTAACATGTTCCAATTTAACTTGCCAAAGTACATTGAAATATATGTATATATACTCATGTTGAGAACATAGTATCATTAATGGGCATTGATCATGATTATCGTCAACACTCTCTAGATAAAATTAAATAACCAAATCTAATTAAAATCACTATTTAATTGCATAACCATTTACAAACCTAATGAGAAAATTTTGTTTTTTCTTTTCTGAGGATTTATTATCTAAAATACATACGAAGTATTTGACAAAGGTTAAAACAATTCTACACTTTTCGATTCCTACATAGTCAAGTCCAAACCCTAAATATATATTGTCAGACCATAAATAATAACTATTCTTATTTTTAAATACATTTTGAGTCCGTTTGGTAGCACGAAAATCGGCTAATTTGGTTCATTCTGGCATTCTGCTGAAATTTATGAAGTTCTGGCTGAAGTGGTTGCATTGGCTGATTTTCCTGATTTAAGAAAAACATATTTTTAAAATATATTTTATTAATAAAATAAAGAAAAAATTATATGTAAAATAGCTAAAATGTTTATCTACAGTAACTTCAGCCAATACAGCCAGAAAAGTAACTTCAACCTTACTTTTTCTGCTTATTACACAATTCAGCGCGATAAAGAAACATTACGTGTTTGGTGAAAAAGTTGATTGATAAGCCAAAAAATAGTGTTGACAAACGACCTCTTTATTATCTAAAACGTACTCCCATCATAATTTAGACGTAATCTTATTTAAAATACCGGTACATGCAACACATTATTAGGCAACACAATTATTTCCCCTGTCTCGTTAAGATTGTCTCATTTTACTTTTTCGCTTCGTCCCACTAAGATGGTCTCATACCAAATTTGTTAAAGTTTGTGTGGCTCTAAATCATTCTTACTTTATTCTTACTTTATCAATTCAATATCTATTACATAAACTATTTTTTATTAGTTTGTGTGTTGCTTCTTCTTGTCACATTGTTAGTAAGACGGGGAGAGTACTTTTTTCAGAAAAAATTTTGTTGTGAAAAAATTAAAAGAGTGTTTGCACTTGCTTAAAAAGATTGCTTTTTAGCTTTTAGATTAAAAAAAGATGAAAAAAAATGTTTTTAAATGACAGCTTCTGCTTAAATTAATCATTTAAAAGCTAAAAGTTGGAGCAGGTGGAAGGATGCTTTAAATTTTTTCTATTACACAAAAGCACTTATTTTACCAAACACTACCAACTTTTAATTTTTCAGAATTACTTTTTTCTCAAACACTACCAACTTTTATTATTAAGTACTTTCCCCAAAATCACTTTAATAAATCACTTTTTTAAAGTAGAAGCAATCGCAAACACACCTTAAGCCCCGTGATATTCTTCGGTCAGTTCTATAGGAGGCCATCCCGGCATCCCGCTATTCTGAATTCCGATTGAGCCTAATCCGTGTTATTTTGATCTAGGCCTACTCACCCCTACATTATTTTAACCCAGCCCACATAATCTTCACTCCCCAAAAATATCCACTTAGTCCACCGCACAGACGAATCCGCACATCTCGCCGCCCCTTCCACATCAAGACGGAATTGTGAAGACCCTGGAGTGCGAGGAAGCGAGCAACGAAGTTAGTTTCCCGTCGACGAGGTTTGAGTGCGTGATTGTGAGTGAGCTTCATCTGTTTGATTTTCGTCACCGGTGCTAAGAAGATCCCAGGTACAGTTTCGGACCCTAATATCATGTTTATTGATTTTTACAAATCTGAATATGTGTGAAAGGATGAGTACCCTGTGTGTATTATACGTAGTATGTGTTCTTGAGGCTTCAATGGCTAGATAACACAGGGTGTAGCGGGTTCCGAGCTTGAATAGGATACAATAACTTACTTCATATTTTAAAGTAAATTTAATAGATCTACTACATGCATTTAATTAAATAAAATTAACGTTATTTAGAAAAAAAATAAGTATTTCAATTTGAAATGCAAATCGACTTGGAGGAATTCTTTTAATCTATTCAAGAATTTCTATTTTGAATAGTATTTGTTGTTATATATCCTATCATATGGAATGTTTTTCAATTTTTTGTGAAAAATGCACACAGAAACAACCACCCAAAATGGAAGGTTTTGTTGCATTTGTGGAAGTTTAATTTTTAAATAAATAGACCTATTTTCTTTTTAAGCTATGTCCAGTTAAAAATTCTAAGGATAACAATGGAAACAAAGAACTAAACCTTGGACGATTGTAGGTTTTTTTTCTGGTCAGGCGTCCTAATTCACAAATTTTTGTACCCACTAAGCTATTATGGCTGAAGAAGCATCTCAACAGTAAGCATTTTTATAAATATATGTTTGATGACTCACATGTAATGGATGCCAGAGATCCTGGATTTATCTCATTTCTTAGTTGACTCACATGTAATGTAGTTGACGACATATGTATATGTTGTTAAATTAGATAGTTGCAAATCCTTGCAATTTTCAGGAAGAAAGAAGGGCAAATAAGAGAACCATTAACACACAACATTGAATACATGTATGAATAGAAGCTCAAAACACTCCAGTTTTTTGTATGATGTTGATGTGCTGTTTATTACTTCATTCAAAATGCCCATCTCTATAGATCTTGATCTAGTAATCCTTTGATTGTGTTTGATTGTGTTTATGCAGCTGGAGAAATATTCAACTTTTTGTTGTATATTTCATTCACCCGCCTCAACTATTTCCTTCTCTGCTTAGATCCAAAAATATGGCCTTCCACTTCTGCTTCCTACGAAGTACTTCGTATATTGAACACTTGTGCTCTTGCACTTCTGTTATCTAATTTCTATTTATGTATTCAAAATATAGAGAAGAAATATAAGGATCAATTTTGAGTGGTTTTCTATTGGAATGGTTTCCCTGATATTTATAGGGAAATAATGATGAGCTGCTTTTTTTCTTTTTTTATATTTTTTATTTTTAATTTTTTCATAAAAATTTTGTGTACACCTTTTCGAAGGAAGATTGTGATGGGATTTAAATGCACACATCTTTAAGATTTTATCATTATTTTTTCTTTGTTAGCTTGCACTATGTGTTTGATGTTGACATTTTTCAGCGGGAATACTGTTCCAAAACTTCTTTTGCTTTTATATATTAATTAATAGATAATAGATGTACTTCATTAATAAATACTTTTACTTTTTACTATAATGGTAATTAGTAACTTATATTTTAACACATTATCTGGAATGTATCACTATCATCATCATCATCTTTATTTATTTTCTTTTTCTGTTTGTATGGGAAATGATGATCCAAATCATTTTGTTTTACAGGGTCCCCAATTGCTCAGGACCGGCCGCGCCACAAACCTTTGAGATCATTAGGTTAAGTGTAGAATGAAGTTAATATCAGGGAGAGTAATTTCATCAAGGGCGGTTTCCCTCTCGGACGCCGCCACTATCATATCGGGCTTCACCGCCTCGGAAACTGGAGCTTCCGATGCCATATCAGTATATGTTAGACGCGCTGCTGATGCATTCAATCAGCTGGCTATGTTTCACAATCTCTATAGTTCCGGGCCTGTTGGAAAGGAGCATCCCTGTGATGAGAACCAGCTGAAAAGTTTGAGTGGGGCACAAGAAGTAGTGAAGTCTAAGGAATGCCCAGAAATGAATCATCATAAATGTAAGAAGAAGAAGAAGCCAGGGAACCGCGATTCAGATATCAAAAGCAATGATTTGGTTAAAACAGACCTTGACTCTGCTGCCGCTGCCACAATAGAAGATGTCCGGGATAAGATGAGTCATCGTGCTGAGAAGGTGAAGGCTGAAGGAAAGGTAAAGGAGGTTGACAATGTGAAGACTGAAAGCAACTCAGTTGAGGGAGATAGTAGAAAGAAGGGCAAGAAATGGAAAAAGGCGGAGGGGGAGACTTTGGTGGTTGAGACCAAGAAGAGGAAGGTTGAAGAAATTGATGGAGGTGTAGAGAGCAGTAAGAAGAGTAAAATGCAGAAGAGAGAAGGGAAATAATTTGGAATGGAAAGGCCAGAGCTATTGGTAGCTAATCTGCCTACATGAACTTATAGTTAGTTACTTGCTGTTCTATTTTGAATGGTGATCCTTTTCTCCTTATCTCATGAATCAAAATGCTTTTCTTAGTTAGTTAGCTGTCTCTCAAAGCAAGCAGCAGAATATTTCACATTTGCCAAAGATCGGAAGTTAGTATGGATGGATAGAGCGGAGCCAGTGTGTTTATGCACTTGTAATGCGGTGTGGTGTTTACTAAGTGCTGCTGTGTGATCTTATTTTTGTATTACAGGATGATAGTGGAAACCTAACTTCACTATAAATATTCACTATCTTGAATTGAATTTTGAAATATTCAATTTTGAAACCAATGCTGCAGGCTGCTTTTGTATGTTGTATGCTTGCTGCATAAACTGCTGCTAGTGCCGCTCTGATGAAATCGTCGATGTATGGAGTGACAATTGCGCTGGATATCTCATTTACCTTCCCCGTTATACGGTTAAACCGTTAAACCTTTAGTTCTATCAAGTACTTTGAATTCAATAATTCTACTCCCTCCGTCCCTAATAACTTTGCCAAGTTTGACCGGCACGTGAATTAATAAAGTAAAAACTGTGTGGTTGAGGTTTGTGCAGAGGAGAGAGAATTAACTAGAACCACAAATTCTTAACTTAAATGGGAAAGTGGCAAAGTTATTGGGACATCCAAAAAAGGAAAGTTGGCAAAGTTATAAGGGACGGAGGGAGTATTATTTTATCACACATCTTGTGATTTTTTACACTACTTGTTGGTTGGTCTTAAGAGCATCCCTAATGCTTGGATGTCTAGAAATTAATAGGTTTTCTAATACATATAGTAGGAAGTGTGATGACCAGATATTAAACTACCAAAGATGCCTCCAAATTCCAATGCGCAAGTGCGCAACATCTCACTGCCAAGTCTAATATCTACAATTCTACATGGAATTTAGTCATTTTCATTTTTCATTTTCATTTACCCCAGTGCCGTAAAGGCTCCCACCTACGATGGGGTAGGGGGGGGTCGGATGTACGCAGTCTTACCTCCGTACTAAAGCACATAGAGACTGTTTCCGGATGACCCATAGTGAAAATCGCGTCCAAAATTACATGGACTGACTGTTGCTATATAACAAAGAAGCGCCGACAGTTTAGTGAGCCATTTTGGTTTATTCCATCATATTCTCAAGCCAAAAAATAATGAATTTTTGGCTCCATTGCAAATGATGGAAAACCATTGTTCTTAAAATAATGAATCTTTGGCACCATTTTTCATTAAAATGGAAAACCATTTTAGTATATTAAAATAATACTACGTACTAAACTTTAATATATTTTGTATACACAGTATAGTAGAAGCTTTCACTTTAATATATTTAGTATATTTTGCACTACTCCAATGTTCTTGCATACATTAAAAAGAAGCTTTCACCTTTTTCTTGTACACCACACATAACGGTGAACCATGGAAGCACTAACATCCCCCGACTGGTCCAAAACGACGAAAACCAAATCCCCAGTTGTGCCTCTCCAACTTGTAGTCGTGAAACGAAGAAACGCTAGTCCACGACCGTTCCTCAGTGCGATGGTCTCCATTTCAGGGGCGAATAATCACCATACCACGATGATCTAATTTTGTTTCGTTCTTTGCTCAACAGGAGGGGTTGTTGTGCCTAGTTGTCAGAGAGAGAGCTCTACACTGCACTGTGTCAGGATAGACGTTGTGGGAGCACTCGCCCAATGATTTCTCCGATTTCAGGAAACTTTCTATGGATCAACTGTCCATGTACTCCATCAGAATCGCGATGTCACTGCTGAGAATCTCGGTTGTCCCTTAGCACCTGATCACTTGTGGCGAGTCCATGAAGCGCATGATCTGGTGGTGGACGGTGAGTTCAATGTTGCAATGCACAACCTTCATGACGTTCATCAATGGTGCCGAACAACTGAAGGCCGAATGCGGTACCAGTAATCTTCTTTCATGGAACACTATAGTGGCGGAATCCAACGATGAAATCCTATCTTCTTCCATGGAACACTGTCGTCCGCATGCTAATGAGCCTTTCTACACTCACATAGTCCTCTTCATGGTGTTCAAATATTTTTTCCAACACATCATTGAATGAGAGACTACATGCATTGGAAGCCAACTTTAATCCACAATGTCCCTATGGATGACATATTACATGGTACACTTATTTTCACTAGAGAATTGCAGTTGCTCTAAATTCAAATTTGAAAGTTAGGTTAACTTACAAAGTTATGGAATAGAGATCAAACATAACATGACCTAAGTAGCACTCTCTTGTTATACATAATGCAGGGAGGGTACACTGAGTTTCCACTATCATCATGGGTTCAATTGCGCCCCTTAGGGGAGATGGGTGTCTTGCTTCCCATTATTCTCCTTACCTTCATGGAGTACCTCAAAGATTGAGAAGTTAGATAAAGATAATGAAGGTAGTGAGTTCGCGTGGTAGGAGCGACACAAATTATAAAATATTACAGAAGCACGCATAAGTCTCATCATCGGAATTATAAAAAAAATGCTACTGTACTACTTTGGCGAATAATTTCAATTCGGCAGCGACATCAGCGGGCTCTGACATTGTATTCGTCTTATTTTAGAAAAATAACATTTTTAATCCTATTTTAGTAAAACTCGCTTTTATTTACTTACGCAATGAGTATAATGATCTGCCTCCATTTCAAAAAAAGTAAAGTTAGATATTTATGTTTAATTTGCTTTTTACTACGTGTTTTATACTTTATTGCTACTTTTGTTTCAATATGTATTTCAACTCATTAGAAAGTAATTCTTATTTTTATAACTCTTACATTAAAGAACTTGTTTGGGGAAGTATTCTAGAATAGGGGTATAAATAATAAAAGCATTACATATGAAATTTCAAAATATCAATAATATTTTTACTCTAAATAGGATTAATTATTATCACCTTGAAATCATAATATAATAATTTGTAGCAGGTAAGCACTAATATGAGAGTTACTACTCCTATTTCGGAATTTGCATTGGCATTATTTTAAACTCCTATTTGGTCAAGTACCTTATGGTCTGATGGCAACACTGTGGTACTTCCAAGGAGGAGGTCACATGTTCGAATCCCATCCCAGTTCAAGGATGTTGGCGTTAACAATGAGCAGATATTATATACTATAGTAATTGTCCTAAATAGGACTAAAACAATGTAATAGTTCCAAAATAGGAGTTACTTTAATTAATTCCTCAGATAGGAGTTAAGTTGTTGACCGGCCGGTTCTATTTCCGAATCTACCCCTCCGTAAAATTAGTCTGAATTAATATTTCAGACTTTTCATTTCCTTCGGTCAGACTATCCTCTGCACCCCCTTATCTTCTGGCACCTTTTAGTCACTGTCCTCTCTCTCATCTACCACATCTTCTCTGCTAGACTTCTTCTTCTCCCATTATTTGTTAGACTTCTTCTCCCATTTATCATCTCCATCAAATTTCTCATATTTCCATCGCCGGAAAATTAGAAAACGGGCGGCAGCATAGATAAGTTTTGTTCATCTTCTTTTTCTCCTTCTCATTCTTCTCATTCTCCCTTCATCTTCATCTTCCTCTATTAATGAAGCAATAAAAACTCTTTTAAACCCAATCTATATTTTCTCTTCAATTTATTTCTCCTACCGTATGCATCTTAAGTTTGTTATTTATGAAATTTTAAAATTGAAGTCTAGTGATATTCGGATCTTGCCTCAGATCTGTAGTAGAAACATGATTCCAATCAATTTTATAATTTGGTTTTTACTTTAATCATCTTTTGTGTTCTAGATCTACTCTTACAGTCCGATTTCTTCTCGATTTTATAATTTGGTTTTTAGTTCTCTATTTCTTCTGTTTTTCTCTTTTGACTTTTTCTCCAACCTTTTCTGTTTAAACTTTTTATCTCACAATTAAAATATACTATACGAGTAACTTTTCAATAATATTTTTGTAACTTTTCACATTAATTTCAAATTTGAATATCAAGTTGCCATATTAAATGCCATATTTTTCATGTAAAAATATTATTTCAGCAATTAGTGTCATATTTTATGACAATAATACAATAGCAATTTATGCCATGTTTTTCGTATAAAAATTGTCATCTTTGCACATAATGTCATTTGTATGTCATATAATGTCATTTTTATGGCAATTTATGCCATGTTTAACAAATACAACATTTAAAAAGTTTGAAAAAGTCAAGATGGCAATAATTATGTATAATCTATTTATAATAATGCATAAATGGCATTCAAATGTTAGTTGACTTTTGAATTTACAGATCTGAAATCAGTGGTTGTGGAGTGAGAAGCAAGAGTGGCGTCGGACTAAGCGGCAGTGGCATGAGATTTAGCGGCGATGGTGGATGAGGCAGCGACGGCGGTGGTGATGGCGGCGACAACAGAGATGATTGATGACGGTGACCCTGGCAGAGGAAACGACAGAGATGGCGGCGATGTCCGGTGACGGCGGAGACTGACGACGGTGACATCCGGCGACGGTGGTTGCACCGCCGCCTCCACCGGCGGCATCGACGGCATCCGGCACGGCTGCCGGTTCAGGGGTGCGTGGTGTCAGCATCAAGTTGTGGCAGTGGTGGTCCTATACACAGTCCGTTGTGTCTGCTTTTATTTTATGATTATATTTTATAGGTGAATAAATAATGTAGATTTTTCATTAAGAGTAGATTTGTCAACTCATGTATTTTTACTCCTATGAAATCATACAGAACATTCAACTCCTATTTTTGAACTTTTGTTATGTTTTGCTCCTACTTGTGTAATTTACTCTATATACTACTATTAACAAGGAAGTGAGTTAGAAAGGATTGTCCAAAAACTCCTATTTGAAGCAACTTTTATTTTCTTTTTTAAGTAAACTCATGATAGACAATATCATGCATATAGGTTATGAAATAGACCAACAAGACCTACTTTGAACAATGGACACTCGCCCATGACAAAAATAGGCCTTAGAACAACACTTCCCCATGAGCATAAAAGGCGAAGCAAGGGCCTCGGACCATGATAGTGAAGAAGTGGCACAAGACTTATGTGGGCTTTTTCTAGGTAGGATGAAGGTAAAAAGAATGTCCAAATTGAACTATATATGTGTGTGTTTAAATGTAAATGATGTATATGAAAATAGAGTGTATTTTTTTGATTAAACCATCCTACCATAACCTTGAACTAAAAACTGACAAAACATTATCAAACTCCAAATCCGTGTAGGCTAAATTATTAGGATTTTCAAAGATCTCGAATTGTGCAGGTAAGATGAATTTTCTTGAAGAATAGATGTTGACACATACTCCATCATGTCTCTACAACCTAATAAGCATGAATGGGGGTAAGCCTATTTTAGGTCTAAAAAATTGGTTGGTGGTATTTGTAAGTCTCTACAACCTAATAATAAGCATGAATGGGGGTAAGCCTATTTTAGGTCTAAAAAATTGGTTGGTGGTATTTGTAAGCTTAGTTCACATATGCACCGTGCATAAAAATTGTTCATCTTTCAGCTTCCCTTAACTTATTTCCCTTATTACGCAACCTACGTCTGCCTCCGTTAGTATGCCCACAACCGCTCAAGCCGCGTCGTCTACCATTTATCTCTCAGTTCATCTTTACCAGTCCGCTTAGGAGCTATATTTCTTTCTTTCTGCAAATCGCTCCTTCTCTGCAGTGGAAGTAATGGAAATACATAAGACACTCTCATCTTCACCCGGTCATATAAAACGTATATTCTTGGATTGGTAAATGATATTAACTCATGAGAAACTAATAATAATAGCTATGATAGAAGTGAGAATGTTTTCGCAGAGAGTTGTATACTGCTCTCTCGTGTTTTTATATTCAGCAGATATGCTATATTTATATTACAAGGAGATGATGATGAAGTGGTCCTATTCTAGTTGGCAGGAGAGAGAAATTGGAGTGTGTAGATTACGAACACCCAACTTGCTCCGAAGAAACTGAAAACGATCTGTCCCAAGCGCTTTGGTAAAAATATCAGCCACTTGATTTTCGGTGGAAATATACTGTGGTTGTATTTCATTATTAGCAACCCGTTCACGGACAAAGTAGCAATCCATTTCGACATGCTTGGTACGTTCATGGAAGACAGGATTAAGTGCTATGTGTCGCGCTGCCTGATTGTCACAATAGAGTATCGTGGGGTCCAGTTGAGGAACAGTGAGATCCTGTAGCAACCAGCGTAACCATAAGATCTCACTAACTGTTACTGCCATGGCACGGTATTCTGCTTCAGCGGAAGAGCGAGAGACAACAGACTGTTTCTTTGTTCGCCATGATATAGGCGAGGTTCCGAGGGTGATGAAATAGCCTGTACTAGAACGGCGAGTGAAGGAACATCCTGCCCAGTCTGCATCACAATATCCCGTCAGAGTGATGTTATTTTCTGATGACAAAAAAATCCCTTGACCTGGTGTATGCTTTAAGTAGCGAAGAATGCGAGTGGCCGCATCAAGATGTGTTTGTCGTGGGGTGCCAAGAAACTGACTAAGCTGGCTGACGGAATATACGATGTCTGGTCGAGTGACAGTAAGATATAATAGGCGTCCTATTAATCTCCTATAGGAAGGAGCATCAACAAGTGGACTACCATCATCTGGTCGTAGCTTTAAATTTTGTTCCATGGGAAATGAACTAGGTCTCCCCGCAAGAATGCCACATTCCTCCAAGATGTCAAGGGTGTATTTCCGTTGACTTAGAACAAACCCTTCAGAGGAACGAGCAACCTCTATGCCAAGAAAGTATTTTAATTTCCCCAAATCCTTGATGCTAAATTGGTTATCCAAGTAAGCTTTGACGGTGTTAATATGAGAGATATTATCACTGGCCAAGATGACATCATCCACATAAATAAGGGCAAAAGTGTTGATAACGCCGTGTTGAAATATGAATAGGGAGTGATCTGCCCTAGATTGACGAAAACCAACTTTGACTAATGCCTGTGTGAATTTGTGATACCAATTTCGGGAAGCTTGGCGGAGCCCATATAGGGATTTTTGTAGTTTGCACACGCGTGTATCACCTTTTCTGACGTAACCCTGAGGTAAACGCATGTACACGTCCTCGTCAAGATCTCCGTGTAGGAATGCATTGTTCACATCCAATTGGTGAACGGCCCAATTTTGTTTGGCAGCAACGGCCAACATACACCGTACTGTGACAAGCTTGGCAACTGGAGCAAAAGTCTCATGAAAATCAATTCCTTCAACCTGAGTAAAACCTTTAGCCACTAATCTGGCTTTGTAACGTTCCACGTTGCCATTGGGTTGATATTTAATTTTGTAAACCCATTTAGAATCAATTGCTTTCTTTCCCGGTGGCAAGTGAACAAGTGTCCAAGTGTTATTTTCTTCCAAAGCAGTGATTTCCTTTTGCATTGCTTCTCTCCATAAGGGATCTTGTACTGCATGTGAGAAATGTTTGGGCTCATCACGGGCAGTGATGGCCGCTAAGTACACTTTATGAGTTGGAGAAAATTTATCATAATTAATGAATTGTGAAATGGGATATACCGTTGAGTTAGCGTGATTGGCGGTGGATCGTGAAGGATGGAGGGAGGGTGGCAAGTCAGTATCATACTCCGCTAGACGTTTTGGAATTTGCCGTAGTCTTTCACTTCGTTTCGGCTGATTGTGAGATGCATTGGTTCCAGTCAAAATTGGGATGGCAGGTGGCACATTTTCAGCAGTACAAGAAGGTTGAATAATTGGAGGTGTGTCACTCAAATGTCTTGTGGGGTATGAGTCAGCTGGTAATCTGTCATAGATATTAACAGGCTGTTCTGAATTATCAAAAACTGCATGTTCATTTTCAGGCTGGATGTGACTACCCGGAGTGTCCTTATCCAAGAGAGGGGTATGCCGACTTAAGAGTGGGTCTGAGTCGATATTTTCAGATTGCCGCCGTCCAGTCAAGTAATTGTTGAGTTGCGATTGAACAAGTTGAGGAGTCTCCATTTCACAAATCACATCTGTAATTATGGGGCCAGTATTTTTGTATTTTTGTGAGAGTGACTCTCTGTTTTGACGGAGTGCAGGAACCTGGCATGGGAAATTTGAGTGGGCAGCTTCAGAATTGATTTTTGTAATATTGCCGTAGACCTGATCAATTATGCCTCCAAAGTCAAGTTCATCCTTGAGTTGAATTTTGAAAGGAAAAAATTCTTCAAAAAAAGATACATCCCTGGAGCTGTATATGCAACGTTTTTGTAAATCAAAGACCCGATAAGCCTTTTGTCCATTCGGGTAACCAACAAAAATACAAGGACTCCCCCTTTCACCAAATTTGTCCTTTTGTTTATTGTTATGTGCGTATACTAAGCACCCAAATACACGCAAATGATCATAATTTGGTGTATTTTTTAGTAACATCTCGTATGGGCTTTTATTGGAGATGATAGGAGAAGGAAGCCTATTAATAATATACACGGCGGTGAGAATACATTCTCCCCAAAAATTAATAGGCAACCCAGACTCAAAGCGGAGAGCTCGAGCAACTTCCAAAATATGTCTGTGTTTGCGTTCAACAACACCATTTTGTTGTGGTGTGTCAGTGCAAGATGTCTCCAATAATATTCCATTTTGTCTATAATAGTCAGACAATGCATTAGTCTGAAACTCGGCACCGTTGTCAGCCCTTAATCGTTTAACCTTTTTCTCAAATTGCCTGTTCACCATGTTGAAAAATTGAATCAAAATGAGGGGAACCTCAGACTTATTTTTAATTAGGTAGACCCAGACAGCTCGAGTGAAATCATCGACTATGGTCAAAAAATAACGTGCACCAGAAATGGACTCAATTTTATATCCTCCCCATATATCACAGTGTATTAATTCAAAACAATGTGTTGTTTTAATAGCACTAGTAGGGAAAGGTAAACGAGTCTGCTTCGCCCTTATGCATGAATCGCATAAATTATTGCTCCGCCCTAGTCCTTGGAGAAAAGTGATATGATGTAATTTGCTGTCTGATGCATGCCCCAAACGTTGATGCCATAAATCAAGATTAGGTGAAACTGACATTGCCACCCCACCATCTTTTGGTAAGTCTAAATAATATAGACCATCACGACATTGACCCACCCCAATCAGCTTCTTCGAGGGTAATTCCTGCAAAATGCACAAATCATTAATAAATGTTATTTTACAATTTAAATCGCTTATGAGGCGATTTACGGAGAGTAGGTTGCAATGGAACTTCGGTATGTATAAAACTCGTTGAAGATGGAATCCGTTGGATAACCGCAAGCTACCCATGGCTTGAACCGGTGCTGAATCTCCATTTGGAATTTTCACAGACGGTATTGAAGTATGGGTTTGAACATCAATGAGATCATAATTGTTACAAATGATGTGTTCACTTGCTCCTGAATCAATAATCCAAGGATGACCCTGTGAAAAAATACCTGCCATGTTTATTTGAACGTCAGAAGAGGACGAGGATTGAGCTTGATCCTGTAATTCATTTTTCATAAATTTTGCCAGCCTATGCAATTGATCTTGGGAGAGACCATAATCAGAATTGGTCTTGACATCCACATGTGCTGCTCTAGGAGGTGGCAACCTTCGTCCTTGATTATTCTCTCTCCGTGTTCCTTGAATCACGTTATTACGTTGATATGGGACCACTCCTCCACCAATTTTATTATCCTTATTTCTAAGGTTCCAATTGGGTGGGTAACCAATCCTCTCAAAGCAACTATCATACGTGTGATTAGTTCTTCCACAGTGAGTACAAGACCTGCCTCCATCCTTTATGCTTGAGCGGCGATCGATGATGGTGTCCCTTTTTGGATGTGTGTAAAATGCTGTGCCATCAACTCCTGGTTTGCGGGTGGATGCAATAGATAGGTGGTGCTCACTTTCCGAAATAAGATGATATGAAGCAGTGAGTGTAGGAACCGGCCTTGTGGCCAAGATTTGAGATTTCAAGTTTCTGTAAACGTCATCGAGACCCATCAAAAAATCATAAAGACGGTCTCTATCACGGGATTCAGTTAGCTGTTTAGAGATGTTGCAGGAACACCCACCACAAGCACAATTGGGTTGAACACTGATAGAAGACATTTCATCCCATATGCGGCGTAGTTGGCTAAAGTAGGCAGAAATGGACTGCCCATTTTGTCTGATTGAACCAAGGGAACATCGAAGCTCATAAGCACGTGGAGCACTTTCTTTCTCGAATCTCTCCTTCAAATCAATCCAAATTTCGCGTGCCGTTTTGAACTTTACACTTTGTCTAAGTTCAATTTCCATGCTACTATTCAACCACGCCTTAACCATGGCATTCGCTCGTTGCCAATATGGGAAGTATGGTGAGTCGGACTTGGGCATCGGAATATCACCATTCACGAAGCCGAACTTGTTTTTCGCATAAAGCGCGTTGCTCATCTCATCGAGCCAATCTCCATAGTTTCCATCTCGAAGGGTCGTAGTGACGTACACATCTCCAGGTTTATCTCCGGAGTGAATGAAATAAGGGGACATAGCATCTATGACTATGCCTTCGGGTGTATTGCCAATGGTTTTGGTCTCATCATCGACCGCCATGGTTTTGTGAAAAGAAATTGTGAGAGGTAGATATGGGAGTGGATTTTATTTTCAGGATTTAGGCTCTGATACCATGATAGAATTGATATTAACTCATGAGAAACTAATAATAATAGCTATGATAGAAGTGAGAATGTTTTCACAGAGAGTTGTATACTGCTCTCTCGTGTTTTTATATTCAGCAGATATGCTATATTTATATTACAAGGAGATGATGATGAAGTGGTCCTATTCTAGTTGGCAGGAGAGAGAAATTGGGTTTGCATGTACCATGCAAAATTAACCCTGCGTAAAAGACAACTACATTATGACAAAGTGGAAAAGCAATTATTTACGAAATGGAAGACTAATCTACGCACAGTGCTCTCATCAATCTCAATAGTAAACTTTTCCCCTACCTATTGCTCACTCTTCTCCTGGTGTCTTTTATCCATTTCCCCATATTTTTGTTTGTCTTTTTATTCGCCTTCCTTTACTTAAATCAAATTACACAAACACATTTGAGTAAAGATGAAAAAACCGGACTCTTGCATCCAACAAAGTTGAAGTTTGTCAAACCAAAGCAATTCACTCCTAAATTACCCAATATTTGGGTGAAAACCTTACTTCCTGACCCGTTTCCCCTGTTTTTATGTTTCGGGAAAAAAGTATGGAAATTTAATGTTTAAATTGTTAATCGTAGATTACCACTCACCAATTGGCTTGATATACTTAGTCTAATATCCATTTATGTTTGGGGCTACGATGAAATGAGCCTACCCAATTTCATTTCACCAATTGTTTTTTCATCTATACTTCAATTTTAACAGGTTTAGATGCCCTTTTGTAGAATATATATAAGTTCACTAATCATCTTGTTCAATAGTTCAGCTTTATTTCAATGACATTAACTAAGTTATGTCAACATATATATAGGATGTTTTTACTGTGATTTGCTGGTCTGGTCTGGTAAGGTCTGGTTTCTTTGTATTTTTATAACTATCCAAGTCTGGTCTGGTCTGAACTGGACTGGTCTGGTCTGGGACAAATTACGGTCCAAGTAAAAACATCCATACAAGGATGGTGAAAAAACAAGTTAAGCCATATGATTTTTTTTGTAATGGGATGTACTTTTGTTTTGTTTTGTAAAAATGAGTATGGCTATTCAATCATTTAACATGATTCTGAAAAGGATGACACCCCATCCCTGAGGGCCCCCCAACACCGACCGGACGGCACGTTGGGAGGATGTAAATTGGACTATAATCACAATCTGACAGATAGAGAGTGGGGCTCTGTCCCCGGTACTTGCAGAGGCTCTATGCATTTTTCAGCATAGTAACCCCTCATCGCAGTTGCCGGGATTCGAACCTGAGACCCAACCCTTGTGGCACTCCCTCGCTACCAGTTGAGCTGCGCCCACCGGTATCATTTAACATGATTCTATTTTTTTGGGATGTAAATTTTTAGATTTACGTATAATAATCGGGCAACCAAAGCAAAACCTCGAATACTACTTGTGGCTTAAATCGATGCTCCCAAATGTTTTTTCTTTCAGAAAGTTAAGCATATTTAATTATTTCAACAGAAATGACTGAAATTGATGCTCCCTCAAGATTAGGATTAATTTGGTATGATAAGATTCTCACTTTTCTATAATGGATTCACTTTTATTTACTGGGATTGATTACAACTTGAATTAGAAAATGATTTGGGGGTTCAGTTGTGGTAGATTTCAACTCTGGAGTATTTTCATTCAGTCTGTCAATCTGTGTGTGCTAAACTTACGTCATTTTAGATTATGGCTGCTCCATAAAGTTATGTCATTTTAATATTTTGGTTATTAATGCAAATTAAAAATGGTTGAGCTCAATGAACAACATGTCATTCTTTAGGAGCATACTGTAATATCCAATTTAAGTGAGCTACGACAAGGTTATCGGAAAGTTGATATCACATAGTCCTACTCTAGCATAACAACTGAAGAGGTTTTTAACTAACGCTTAGCTTTCTGTATCTTCTTCGATTCACCATACCAGTGGTTCTCTGGTTCATTTCTATCTTTCCTGATTCATTTTTTTTTCAAACTTCCTTGATTAGCCTTGGCGGTCATTGTCTGATTGATTTTTCTTCAATTTATTTGCTCGACTCGCATTGATTTTCCTTATAGTTAAATATTGAGCTTCCTTTGGATCCTCTTCGAAGAAAAAATATGTAAAGTGCTACCGGTAAAACGCCTTTGGAGAGGACATGGTAGGGGAGCATCTACTTTATTGCTTGGTGCGGATGAATTAAGAGGACAATGACTGATGAGAACTCCAACCAAATCAGTTATATACAATGAATGCAAAGATAACGCTAAGACAAATCAATCATACAAACCAGATTACTGTATCAACATACACACAGTCACACGGTCTAAATGAGATATCCTCATTTATTCACGTTTCTTTTATGATAAAATTTTGGTTATTTGAAGTGCAAGCAAAAGTATAAAACCAATCATTCTTTTCACCCACCATAACAATTAAGAATTAAGAATTAAGAACTACGATAAATGGGTTATTACCAAGAAGTTTAACATCTTACTTCATGAAGTCTACTTCCAGCAGCTCCTTAACACGTTAATGGATACCAACTCTGTTTGAAAAGTCACTCACGTTCTATTGAAATCAACTCTTGTTGTACCAATTTTTCTAAAATATACAGAATATTTAATAAGCCACTCCTAACATATAACCAAAAGCAAACAGTACATTGTCGTATATGATATAATTGCAAGCAGAGAACAAGTTACATTATACGTATCGTTCTTTTTTCTCAAAAACTAACAAAGAAAACAAACAAGAGCCCAGGTCAAATTCTTATCAAGTCGGCTTTTCAAATTAAAGCCGGGCAAGTACCATTCCCAAATCAAACCATGATGATATGATTAAAGAGAACATTATTGTTTTTGAATGGAAGTCATGCTAAACCGTTTTTAAAACTCTTTCTAGCACCATTGAGTAGGTAACTTGGCTCTTCTTCTTCTTCTTTTTTTTTTTTTTTAAATTGAATTGAATGTCTCATCAATACAAGTAGTATTCGAGTCGAGCAATGCGAGTCAAGCAAAACGCCCTGGAATTACATTTTGTAGGGAAGGAGGACCTATCAAATATGTCCAATCAACCATAGGCGGGTGAGCAAATGCGATTCCTTTTTAACTTTAGCGATCTTATTCAACCAATTTACACTTTCCCAGCTTTAGTTTTCTGTTGAAGTTCCATTTGGGCTCACAAGACTCTTCCATCTGACAAACTTTGTTATTGTTTAAATTTAAATGATTTGTTCAAGGCTTCTTTTACTAGCCAGATAACTAATCTTCATCGTTGTTCATTGTTCATGGTTTAGAGGTAGTTCGTGAGAAGATGATCTCAAGCATTTGATGTGTACCAACTATAAATAGATCACCAACAATTGCTGAAACGGCTCTCCATTTTAGAGCTACACATGCTCGTAAATGGTTGAGTATATTGATATTTCTCTATATTTAACTACTTTTTAACAATAGTTTTCTAACATATTTATGATTATCATCTTGCTATAAGATTTCTCCTTTTGAACTGAACTTTTCATAGTTATACTAAATAGTACTCCGTAATAAAAAGTGCTTATTAAAATGCTAAAAAAATTATTGATCTTTTTTATATGCATCGCAGAAATCCATACATAAATAAGAGGAAGAAAGAATGTGCTATCTCTTAAAAAAAATCCAAACATGCTTGGACTGCATAAATTCTGGCACTATCAGAAACATCAGTAGAATTCACTCTTTGGTGAGGTTCAACAACACCAAAGCATATGCTTAAATCTTCCAAGTATTTTACACAATAAAATCTCAAATCATTATCTTGAACAAATTGATGATGAATTTTTTATCTCCTATAACCCGGCAAATGTTATCAATAAAAGAAAAGTCTCAAACACTCCCATGATATAGGCAGGTTTATGCAAACCTCTCACTTTTTATCCCATTTGGAATCGTTTACCAAGTTTTTAATCCAACTTTGTGGAAGTGTAGTATATGTATATAGCATTGGGCATTTACCCTACCGCGCAACGCGCGTTTAAAAACTAGTAACTAGTTAAGTATCAAAGAGACAAAGAGTAGTGTGTAGAATCAACCACAAGATAGTTGCCTAGATACCCCTTTCCCATTTTACATGTGTTCCTTTTTTGGTTATCCTAAAATAAGTGTCATATTTATTTTTTAGAAATAAATACGAAGTATATGGTTCATAAGATTTAACTTTATTATATTTAAACTTTAGCCTCAACTTTTACTTTTTCAATAACTTTATTAATAATTGTGTCAAACCAAATGAAGACATAAATGAAACATATAGTAATATTTAGTCTTTGTAAAAAATGTTTCTTCTAAATGAGATTGATATCTAACCAGTTAAACATTTTTATACTCTCAAAATCCCAATCCTATTTTTTGATTTTCAGCCCTATACTAATCCCGGCAAATTATACCGTGGGATCGGCATACCATGCTCATGGTACACCGATCCCAATACCGTGACGTTTTTCTTTGATCACCACGGTCTCACGGTCTCTTACTCCCCCAGCCCACCATCTTTCTTTCGTTTTTTTTACTTTTTATCAAAAGCTAACAATCATTGAGGTCACTATTTCCAAATGGTTTTTTTTCTAATTCATGACCAGTGGAACGTATTAAGAGTATTATAATTTTCTGATCCAATTTTTATCATTTCAAAATAAATTAATTACTTTTTTTCTATCTTAGTCATTAGTCATACACTTCTTTCTATTTTCTTTCTTCAAATGAAATTACAATAAAATTTATTTTTTATGTGATGTTTTTTTGTATTTATACATTTCTTTCATAATATATT